TTTTATTATAATTATTATTTTTTATAAATTTTAAATCCACCGATTTATTATAAAGAAAATTTGCCCATGATATAACCGCAATAATTCATTTTTATTCTCTACTTACAGATGGTTTTTCACCACCAACAACAACAACAGCAATATCAGTAACACCAACTCAAGTAGCTACAACAACAACCAAAGTGAGCAAACAAACAGCTAGTCAACAACAGCAACGTCAACTGGAGCAAGAACAACTGTACCAATACCAACAAAAGCATGCAACGGTAATCACAGCTGAGCAGCAACAACATCAAATGAGTCTGATAATGAAAATGCCAACGGCAACGGCCGCAGCATCATCTCCCACAGCCTCAGGCACAATTGTTTCACCAATACCGCGCGCATCAAAGCGCAATTCCCCAGCAGGCAGCAACAATAGCTCGCCAAGCAAAGAAAAGTCTGAAAGAATTCTACTCGGGGGTCATTACACGACACAGCCGCAACCGGGCAAAGAATATTGTGAGAGCGGCGATGATCGCGACAGCGATTGGAATACACGCAGGCAAATGTTGTCTCCAACAACAACAGCACCACCAATAAGTGGTATAACAACAATAACACCACTACACAAAACTATAGCGCCAATACCAAAGCAAAGATCAGCGTATTCACCGGTGAAGAATGCTTCTGCAGCTGCAGCCAAAGAATCCGTTTCGGGCCATACAAATCAGCCAGCGAGCGAGCAGAGAGTTAGCACAACAACTCGTCTAACAGGTACAACTGCCACAGCAGCGCTGAGAGCGGAGCTGCAGAGCACAGCTGGTGGTGATGGTGGCGGTGGTGGCAGCGGTAGCCACTTCGATATCGACGATGGTACCATCACTCCATATAACGTCTCAGCTGTTGCCGCTGGCAGTGGTCACGGCGATGGCGAAGAATGTGTGGCAGACGAAAAGCAGGAAAATGAAACAATACACAGAGCAACGGCAGCCGAGAGCGGTGGTGAAATGTATGCAACGACTGGCAGGCAAATACCATCCACAACGTTTGGTTCGCCAACTAGAGCGAATGTGAGTGTAGCGTCGCCACTATCGCCCAAGCTAGTCGCTGCACAAGCAGCTCAGTCTCAGCAATCGCAACAGTTTCATTCGAAGAACGAACGCGAACGGACGTACACCGAACAGCGCGGTACGTCAACGTCGTCGTCGGCCGGGTCTAATAGTAATTCAAATACCACAACCAAAGTGCAAACACAAGAAAATACCACAACAATCAACAATAGACATTATAACGCCTCAACTAGCTCGTATTCGCCCTCGAATTACGCGATCCCACAGCAGAACAACAGTGGTGTTAGTGGTAGTGGAAAAATCTTTTCGAAACTACACAATAATCAGTTCATAAAGAATCAACAGCAGCAACATCAACAACTGCAGCAGACCGGTGCGCAACCGAGCACCGCCACACAATCGAATATTACGGCACGTTATCTGAAATACAAGTCGCAAGCAGCGCATGCGCAGGAATCTGGAAGCGGCAGTGAAACTGGTTCGACAAGCACCAACTACTCAGGCTCGCCAACCAAATCGTTTGTGGCACCCACTGCAAGTGCAATCAAAAAGAAAATGGTTGCCGTGCAGGAAATGAAGAAAACGACACAACCAAGTAGTAATCATGGACAACTGCATTCGCACCGCACACACCACAATCATCAACAGATGATTAGCGCTGGTGGCGGTGGTACATGTGCGCGTACAGCGTTAAGCGGTGGCCGCGCACAGCCGCCCAGCCAAACGGACGAGGTTAACTTCGATCCGGCCGAGGATCTCAGCTATGGTCCGGGAATTGTGTCTAAATTGCGTTGCCGTTACCTTAGTCTCGCATTTCGCGAATCTATGGAAAAGGAGCGCCATTGTTTGGATAACATGCGTCGCGCTACTAGCCTCAATAATTTACTTGATCGTGACGATGCGCACGATGAGGATGAGCCTGAAGATGATTTGGACAGCGGTGGTGCCGTCGATGTGGAGGTGCATGATGAGGAGGAGTATGTGGAGTTACGCGCTGATGCGGATAGGACACCAAACACTGAACGGAAATTGAAAACACAGGGTGGCATATTAAAGCACGGTGGCGACGCTGCTACACAAGACAACACCAAAAAGACAACAACGTTTCAGAAAAATGCAAACGCTTTTGCTGCAAATGGCACGCGTTTGCTAAATTCGGCACCGGTCGGCAGCGTAGGCGACGCGGTATCGTCAGCCAACGTCGCGGCGCCCGATACACCGCGTTCGCGTCATGTCAAACGCGGTAATGATTCGTTAAAACGCGCGCGTTCGGTCGAAGCATTGCTCTGTGAACGTTCACCTTGGCAATATGCGGCGCTCAATCGCACTAGCTATCAGCCACAGCGTTTCACTTCTGGCGGTAGTTCGTCTTATGCGGCAGCAACACAGCCGACTTGTGTAACTATCGAGGATAAAATAAATAATGCGCGCAGCCGGCTAATACTCGGCACCGATATAATGCCACCGAAGCGTTTAACCTCAGTGATCGATGATACCGAGCGACCGCCACCAGATTTGGTAAAGCAAACATTGAAGAAGTTCGAAGCGACGGCCAATCGACGCGGACGCGGGCCAAATCGCACGAACGGCACCGGTGAAGTCGCCAACAAAGTGGCAACCTACAAGACAATCATTAAGGAGAATAAGCCTGCAATAGTATTTCCAAAACCACCGCTCAGTCCCACCAAGAAAATAAATTCGCCACTATTATCGAAACCATTAGCCAAACCAGTTGTGGGCGCTAATGATTTGCTCAACAGTCCGTTAGGGCGCAAAACCGCTGCCGCAGCCGCTGTCAATGCCTCTGCGGCTGTGACTGGAAATACGCAAGCTGCGACCTCAAACGTAGCAGCCACCAGCGGCTTATCAGAGAACTCACCCGATATCATTCCAAGGCATAAGCTTTTAACGGAAAAGAGCGAATCGTTATTGCATGGGGTTGTCGATTCGCCAGTGACAGCTTTAACGAAAAAGCTCGAAAAGCTGCGCATTACCGCTGCTGATAAACAACAACAACAACAGCTGCAAACAATAACAACAAAGGAGGCGAAACAGCCAGCACAGTTGAATAAGCAGTCACAACACTCGGCACTCGAAGTAACCAGCAGCGACAACGAATTCGTCAATAGCAGCGAGTTAAACAACGACAACAATGCTAGCAATAGCAGCCAGCTCGTGGGTGGCGCACACGAGGGTGAAGCGACGGGCGATAGTGACGCAGCCCTCGAAGGCAACGAAAATAGCAATAACAACAAACAAGCAGCACCGACGAAACAGCATAATGATCGTGCGGGCACGGGCACTGGTACTGGTATTAGCGCTAGCGGCGAGTCAGCCGTAGAACCCGATACAGCACAAGCAGGAACCGTCGCTATTAGTAGTGATCTTAGCGACGACGACGACGGACTGATTGGTATTGCCGCCGCCGCACCCACAAAACGTATAACACGTACAGCACTCGATAATATCGCACGCGCAGGCACAACACAACAATTCAAATTCGCTGGCAGCAGTGGACAAACGAATATCGGCAGCAAATCAACAGTTGAGCCGCCAAAAACTAAACCGCAAACAAACTTGAATCCCGATATACCCACATCGGTATTGAACGCTGCACCTGGTAAGCAAATCGGGGTCATACGCCCTTTACTCACCACCACAGCCGCACAACAAGCGGCCAACGCGAACACCACCAACTCCGGCTTTTCGCATCAACAACAATTGTTGCAACAACATTTGGAAGCATTGAAACAAAATAACGTCTACAACAACACGTCATCGACGCCCACAAGCGTCAGCAACGCCACAGCAACACATTCCTCAATTTATCACAGCACACCGCCGCTGACGAGCCGCGAAATTGAAAAGAATCGTATAAATGAAATGAAGAAAACCGTCGCCTTAGCCGATGGTAGTCCAATAACAGCCACAATGGTCAACGCCAGCAACAATGCCACTTCACCCGCCGCACAGCATGCCGTAAATGCTAGTCTAAATACCGTGATAAATACCAATGCGCCCGGTCATAAGTCCAACAACGCTAGCGCTACGTCGTCAACAGCGCCAATTGTTGGCGGTAGTTCCGGCACTTCCGGTTTCAACGAGCTCGATGCGGCAGCGCCAGGCGCTAATAATAGTCCCTTATGGGCGTTACGCATTAAACGGCAGACACCACCGAGTGTGCCACAGGAAAACACATCGATGGTGTTCAACTTTTCCAATCGCAAAGAGGTGCCCGATTATATTGAGAATGACGGTGTGATCTTTCGCAGAAAACGTGAATTGCCCAAGGTGAGTGTACCGACCTACGTAAACGTAGTGGTGTGGTAGGGAAGGTGAACAAGAAGTAGTAGTGGAAGCAGCAGACGGGAAAAGTAGTGAACAAAGTTGCTTCATGGTTTGAAATAGAAAAAAATTTATAAAAATGAATAAATAGAAGTGTGTGCAAAGCAACAGTGCTGGAAGAAAGAAAACTAAGCGAATAGCAAGTAAAAGAAGTGAGGAAGTGTAATGTGGAAAGAAGCAGCGCACACTGCCAAAGAAACGAAGTTGCGCGTCTACGTATGTATGTGTGTGTATGAAGGTTATAGCGAACAAAGGCATATACATATATAATATTAAAGAATATATATACATATGTACATATACATATGAATAAAATATATATAATTTATAAATAGCAATAGCAGTTGTACAAAAACAAAACACAATAACAACAACATGAAGCTGGTAGTGTGCTGCAACGTGCATAAAAGCGAAAGAGTGAAGTGAATTCGGTAATAAAGTGAAGTTTCGCGCTGAAGAAAGACAACACACACATACAAAAAATTCGTGCGCATGTATACCTTCGTGTATACATATGTATGTATATGTGTTTAATTCATACTTACCAGTTTAAAAATGAAGTATCTGCATGCTTGATGGCCAAGGCTTTTAAGCGAAATTAAAGATAGAAAGAAATAAAGATAATGAGCGAAAAGTTTAAAGTTCGAACGTTTTGAACCAGTTATAATAAATAAAACAAATTATTGAAGAGTAAAGAAAATAAAAGAGTCAAGAAACGAAAATTAGCAGTTAAAAGATTTAAAAGTAAAAAATCTAAAATTAATAGTTAAAAAAAAATAAACACTAAAAAATTTCAAAAATTAAAATAAATTAAATTAAAATAATAAAATTAGTTGTTAGTTAAAAATTTAACTGTAAAAAAAACGAAAATTTACAGTTAATAAAAATTTAAATTAACAGTTAATAAATTTAAAACTAAAAAAAAACGAAAATAATAAAATTAACAGTCAAGAAACTAACAGTAAAATCTAAAATTATCGTTTTAAAAATTTAACAGTTAATAAATTTAAAACTAAAAAAATGCAAATTAACAGTTAATAAAAATTTAAATTAACAGTTAATAAATTTAAAACTAAAAAACGAAAATTAACAGTTGCGAATTTAAACTAAAACAAAAAAATAAAAATTATCAGTTAAAAATTCAAAAAGCCAAATGAAATAGAAAATATTCGAGAAAACCTTCATCGCTTCTACTGCTACCTCTCCTTCTTCCGCACTGCTACAACCGCAACTACTTAAATAATTGCTTAAGATAACCAGTTTAATAAAAAATGTATGCATTAAATCTTAATATGTAGCAAAATTTCAGTATTATATTCTCGCATACCATAAGATAATCTCTTTGAACGGCTCAACCAATTTAAAGAGTCACTTTGCTTTGAAAATTTTATAAAGACACTATCACTTGTTTATATTTTCTTCGTTACAAGTGCGGCACATATGTACATACATGTTCGCCCAAGTGGATGCCCTTTATTATGTCAAATGTGGTACTTAAGTGATCGTGTTATAAGATAGCTTGAGGATCACTTATGATTTCTCAAAATTTTAGGCATGAAGTTGCATTTTATTTCCTTTTTTTATGTATTCAAAATTTTTTTATGAATGTGAATGCTATATTATTAAAAAAGCAACAACTAATCTCCTTCGTCATTTACAGTTGGTCTATGATTTATTATAAACACTCACTCAGTTTTCGAAACAAGATATTATCAGTTAAATAAATTATTTACTTGTATGTGTATGGTACAGCTAATCAGCGCTGATTCATGACCACATGCATTACTTATTTCTTGAAAAACAACTTTAAAATAACTTCTGCTGTCCACATTCTTAACCAAGAAGCTCAAAGCTTGAAATATGGCGTTAACTTCAAGTCTATTTTTTAGCTTCGCCGCCGTCGTTCTTTTGTGCTCAATTTCAATCTGCTTTCAATCAGTTTTCGTTACTTAATCATGTTTAAAATAATATTCAAGTTGTCAACTTGTCTGCTAAGATTATTTCAAATTGTATCGAAAAATATATTTTCAACCTCTAAATCTCCCTTTTTCTCTTTTAATAGCCAAATATTATATATTTTCTTTTCCTAGTCTCCTTTGTACTCTTTTAATAATCCAACATTATATGTTTTCTGCCTCTAAATCTCCCTTTTTCGTTTTTAATATTCAAATTATGCATTCACAAAGCATCATTCTGCTGTTCTGAAAGTCTAAAACATGTTTATTTTCACTTTTTTTTATTTTGTCTGCTAACTTTGTAGTAATCTTTCATATTATTTTGCTTATTTCCAGCATAACTTTGAGATGCATATCAATTCACCTAAATAATCAGCTTAATTTTTTGATTGACAAGCGATTCCTATATTTTTAGCTATTGAATCCCCAAAAACCAGTTTTCTGTGAATCTTTTAATAAATTTTAGTAAACTAAATTTTCAATACGATTTACATATGAACGCTTGATTGAGAGTTTAAAAAAATGATGCGCTTCAGAGTAATCTCTTCGGACTTTTTCATTCCTTTTCTTGTTCTTTTATTAAACACTGAAAATATTCAAACAAATTTTGGTTGTTGGAGAAGATTTATTATTGTTAGAAACCACTTTTGTCCTTTATAAAAATATTATTATAGTTTAGTGATCTTGATTCAATATTCTCTGAGTTTTTTCTTATTGTTTATCGATCGTTCTTTGACTCTTAACCTTACTTTATTTTACTAATCCTCATTTGATCGTTTGATACTTTACTCTGGTTGATCTTTTGAATACCCTATAGATTTTCCACGATTTATCATTGCAAAGGCTTTGTATTTTTGTTTTATAATTGATATAACCGATCTTGAATATTTTTTGTTTTAAATGATCTTCAATCGATTGTTACAAATATATAATTTACACAATATTTCACATTCTACTTGCGTTTATAAAAAATTCCAAATTTCCATTACTTCTGACTAAACTTTAAAATTCATGATTGTTGGGAAATTTCGTTTATCAAATTTTGTATTATACTTAGGAGACTCTTTATTGCTGTATTGTTGTAGAATCGCGCTTTTCTTCTGAATTTATTAATTTGCATACTAATTCAAGCTTCTGAGTAATCACCACTCGTTCAAATACCGTTGTTTACCTTTTGTTTACTCGTCAGTTATTTATTGCTCTTCAAGTGTCTTTTGTGAGTCATCTGGTTATTTCTCCATAAAGGTGTTTCTTATTTGCTGCACTACTTAAGGGTTAACTCACATGTGCCGCTATCTTTTCTTGTCAATAAGTTGCTTTACATTTTTTGCACTCGAACGCAGCCAATATGCGGTGCATTAACTAAAGCTAGCGACCACAGCTTGTCAGAGCTCATTTTTTCCTTAGCGCACCAACACTTATGCAACATTGCATGCGTGTGTTTGTGTATGTGCTTAAATAGCATTTTTTTCAACACGTTACCGCTCCAGGGGACGCAGTTATTAAGCATTATTTATGTTGTTTACCTTGAACGGAAGGAAAGAAATGCTCCGCGTTCAATGCATATTCGTACAGATACCTAAGGTAAATAAATACTATGTATATATCGGCGTATGCGTGTTTTGGTGTTTGCTCACGCGGTTTTCAGCATATGTGTTCCTTTATTATTTCCTTATATGCTTTATTTGTCAGACGGAATATTTTTATGTGCGTTTGCGTGTGAGACAAACGCAATGTGTTTTGGTAGGAAAAAAAATATACCCAAATCAAGTGCTTCTTCCTGTTTCGGCTAGACTTTTTCCAGCGAAGCATATTTACCTAATACATACATATTTACGTGCCATGAGTAACCAATCAAGCGGGTAATCAGCATTGATATAAATACAAACTTGTGGATAATCTTAAGTACACAACAAGAAAAAGCAATAACTTCCAAAGCTATGATACCCTTCACACATGCATTTTTTGGCATAAAAGTATAAAAAGTTCTTTATCTTGACTTAGATGGTTCAGTTTGTACGGTAGTTATGTGCTAAAGTGCTCCGATCTGAACAATTTCTTCGGAGATTGTAGGCTTGTCTTGAACAATAAGCTATGCCAAATTTCGTAAAGATACATATCTTTTTCAAAAAAATACGTTTTCTGTACAAGAACATGATTTTGATTCATCAGTTTATATGGCAGCTATAGGCTAAATTGGTCAGATTAAAAAACTTTGCTCGGGGAGGGTAACGTTGACTTGAAAAATGGTCTGTGTTTAAATTTTATATATGGAAACATGCTTTGGATGGATCCGTTTGTATGATAGTTACATATATGCTGTAGCTGTCAGATCTCAGCAATTCGTTTCGAGATTGTACTGTTGGCTTGTAAAATTATCTAAGCCAAGTTTCGTAAAGATATTTTGTCATATAAACAAGTTTTATATACAAGAACTCAATTTGGATCGATCAGTTTGTATGACAGCTATTTGCTATAGGGGTCCGATATCGGCGGTTACGCCAAATAAGAGGCTTCTTGGGGAGAAAAAGATGTGTGCAAAATCTCAGATCGATATCTTAAAAACTGTGAGACCAATTCCCATATATACAAACGGAATTGGCTAAACCGGCTCAGCTGGTTACGTATGAATGCACTTATGTATGTATACATATATGGTTTTATAGTCCACAAATTTCGTGGCAAGCTTACATACATATCATGATAATTTTGCACCCCAAAATTATTTTAGCCTTTACCGACTCCAATTTTAGAAATTTTTGTTATAAATACGGATATTATATTCTTGTGCAGTGTGCGTGCGTTACTGCTTATCAGCGCTTATTCATAAAATTTGCAACGAGTTGCGCTTATCAATTTCGTAAATTTAGCAAAATCGCACAGCAAACAAAGCAATGCTTATCGTAAATTCCTGGAGGCTTAGTGTGCGCTATATCTCTGTACATATGTATACAAATATTATATTGTGTGCGCCGAATTTTGTGTACCCAT